AAATGGGATGGAAACTTATCTTTTAAAATTTCCTTTTCCTCAGTGTATTTGGGTTAATTTTTTAAAAGTCTAAATCAAAGCAGAAGAGTGGTTTCTCTTCAAGGTAGAGTGCAAATGAATGTCGAAGACTTTAAAGATATTTAGTTCGATTACTCAAATCAGAGCCATCAAAGAAGAATATCTGTCTTATATTCTTCTATGGGCATGAACTGAAGCACAGGAAGTTCCGTCTGAACATGAGGAAGAACTTCTTCCCTCTGAGGGTGACGGAGCACTGGAAGACGCTGCCCAGGGAGGCTGTGGAGTCTCCTCCTCTGGAGATATTCCAGACCCGCCTGGACAAGGTCCTGTGCAGCCTGCTGTAGGTGACCCTGCTTCGGCAGGGGGGTTGGACTAGATGACCCACAGAGGTTTTTTCCAACCCCTACCATTCTGTGATTCTGGGATTCTGTGACATATTTTAAATACCTGCTTCCTACTGTAGCGTGGGGGAGTTGAATAATTTGACTGTAACCTGACCTCCTGCTCACAAATTTAAGCTATTTGCTTTTTCATAGTACTAGTGATATCTGTAGTGCACTGCAAACAAGAATTCCATCAGTGTAAGGTTGAGACACGTGTTAAAAGACTAAATGTCATATATTGATAAATTACAATCAAAAATAACATCATGATAATTAGTACAAAATAAATTTCAGTTTCTAGATCTGAAAAATGACATTTATAGAATGTGCCTGACAAAGAGATTTGTGCTGGTTCTAGAGTTTTCTAACCACAACAGATTTTATTTTATTACTGTTTCAAAGAAACAGTAATCAAAAAAGCCTGGAGGATTTTTCAGTGGTGTGGCAACCTTTTCAGAAAGGGTGGTAATCCTTCTGACAGGAGATACATAGTTCTTCGTTGAGCTGGCAGCTGGTGGGCGTGTACCACAGCTGTTGACACACATTTAAAGTTCTTTTAACTTTTAATGTTCCAGGAAAGTCCTGGAAATGCAGGAGTAGCAATTTTCCACAGTGTATCTAGCTGGAGGTAGATGAGGAAAGGCTTTTGTTAAGGTATCTTTAAGGTAATTAATGATGAGAAATGGATTAGGCAAGAGCTCATGAAGGTGAGTGAGAATTAGCTCGTGATCTAAAAATATCATCAGATTTTTAATAGCGGTGACTGGCCAGAAGTTTTCACTGGTACTGTTCCTTCTACCATGATTTAATAACACTGGTTTAAAACATGTAGCATACTTTGTACAGCTATGTTAGTAGCAGGTATTTTTAAAATGATAAAAAGTGACTAACGGTGAACGGGAGGCTAATTGTGTTGTGATGACTAGTGAAGAGAATGGCAAGCTTGAGTACCAAGTGGTACGGTGACTGCTGGGCAGGATGAGCCCTCTCCTGCCAACAAAGTTTCTGCCCGATCAGGTGTACAGATACACTTCATTTATTTCTGATAGATAGTATTATAACTTCTGATGTTTGATCCTGGTAGTGAAGTTAGATCCCTTCAGCAGGGATGAAATTAATTAGAAAGGGAGTTTGATAGTGCCAATCAGCATAGGCCAGGAATTAAATCAGTTGCTTTTATCTATCAGACTGCTTTCTCTGAAGAAAAGTGTTGCATATGCAGGAAGGTCCTTATTCTTGCATGTGTCCTAGTAGTTGCTGCATGCAGGGCACCCGTATAAAGCTTTTTCCTTCATGAAATGTTGGAATAGACTGAGGATCCAGCTGGTCTTTACACTGCTGTCAACCATAGGTGGTATTCCTATATTCATGTCTTAGCAACAAAATGGAGGAAGGGCAGTGACTGCTTGTAGTAAAAGCAACAGACAAGGTTAGAAAATGTTTCTGTAAAAGGCATAAAAAGTATAATACTAAATTGGCACATCCTCCTCTCATTGACATAGTTCATACTAGAAAAAAGGGTGAATTTTTTAGTGAATCTTGTGCCAGTTCCTCAGATGATGTATTTTCGTGATAGAAGAACATTTGCCTCGGAAAAAGTCTACAATAAGTGGTTTTACTTATACAGAAATTCCATCTTTTTTATCCCCTTAGCCTCTCCTTCCATGACTTTGTAGCAGCAAGGTTTCCAGAAGAGATTTGTCCACTGTTCTTTGCATCCATATGAGGACACTGACATGGGGTCATGTATACATAGACACACACACACAAGGTGACCCTGCTTTAGCAGGGGGGTTAGACCAGATTAGATGATCCACAGAGGTTCCTTCCAACCCCTATGGCTCTGTGATTCTGTGATATAGTCTCCTATATGCAGCTAAAACAATTCTTACTATTCTGTTGTTTATACTACTGTAGATGTATGTATGCAGATGTTTAATCCTGAATAATGTGTACACTCAGTCTGCTCCAAGGTATGCGTGAGATTTGTCAGACTAGATTCTGTATGGTTTTGTGTGTTACACAGCTCATGATGGGGTTGATCCTATAAACTCTACTCACTAGAAAGTATTGATGTCTTGGAGGATCAAATCTATGCAAAAATCTGTGGCTATGAATAAAACTGGATCCATATGTAATATAGACTGAGTATATACAGTGTGAGTATGAACAGTAGAGTATGTGTGCATTCCATGTGCACACATATCTGTCTCAATTTTGCAACGAGATCCACACAGATGAATGCCATATCTGTTGATTGGATCTGATTGGATTTGCATAGAGATAAAAGGTTTTGTCTATGTGGGGCACAAAATTGGGGAGGGGAAATTACGCACTTTTTTATTATAGACATGGCAGAAATTTTCAGCTATGTAGGTAGTTTGCTGTTGGAATAACTTATTTAGGGATTTGGCATATTTTTCATTAGCTGAAGTATTTAAATGAAAAATATTTATCTCCTTAAAGTAAGTTTTCACATTTAATCTCTGTTGTCTTACTGAAATCTTTTATGTCTTTGCAAACTGTTTGTGTTCTGGTAGTTCTGTTGTCCTAGTTGTCTATTCCCATTGGCCATTCTGGTTTTAGACTTATGAAACTCTGTTCATATCACATTAGAACAATCCAACTTGAGTCCCCCGTAGCAGAATCCATAGACTTTTTGTTAAACTTACAGAGGTTATGATTTGTGCTGGTACTAACACGACACTTTAAAGAAGACAGACAGGACATCTTAGCTTTACCATAAGCAAATAGGCATCCAAGTGATGCTTATATTACTTGTCATGCTTCACAGGCAGAGTAGCATTTTTGCAAGATTGGATTAGTTCCCTCATTTGCAGATGCCATTGTACAGCTAAAGTGCTTTCATATTTACAAGGCAAGACTTGGTCCAATCTTTCAAGCAAGGTTTAATGATGCTGTATGATACCTAAGACTGGATGCCAGTTTGCCAGTCACCCTCCTGCGCACTCTGCTCAGACAGTTGTGGTTTTCCTTTCCTGAGCAGAGACTGTGTTTCTTTTCTGGATGTGAGAAGAGCATTTTGTCTCCTACGAGCTAGGCAGAGCCCTTTCTACTTTCCTGGGCATCAAGGAGAGCCTGTTTTTCCTTCTCACTTTCACTAAGTTTAAGCGTTTCCTTTCCTTATCCCTTCTAGGACAACTATGGCAACAACAGGGCTGTGTCTTTGCTCTCCTTTTTCCCATCCTTCCTGACATTAGGCAGGATCTCCTGGCTGCTGCCTGCAAGACTGCCCTTCAGGATCAGTGGCCATTTGTGAGGGTAGATAACCTTTTTAAAGGTATCTTAATTATAAGCATAGACCTAAATATAAGAGGAAAGGGCTGATAACACAGAAATAGGTTCACATACATATTATCACTACTAAAAGCTTGAGCTGGTCTGTCTTATCCCAGAGAAGGCCCACCTCTCAGTCTCTTTTATCCACATCTGGGATCTTTGCTCCAGTTTCCTGCAGGTGACTCCTTGAGATCCATCTGGGGTGAAAAACTAAGTAAAAATCTTTACATGTCTGAAAGTAGCATTTTAAATACCTGTTAGGATTGATAAGGCAGGATCTGAAGCTCCAGTTTGTTTTTTCCCTATGAATCACTACTCCCTATCTAATTGAACCCTTTTAGTCAAGTAGCAAAAAATGCTGTATCAAACAAACAGAACATATAACGCTCATAATAAATTCCAGACACATCCTCTATTAAAATATTGCATATAATAAAATCACATGCTTCAGTCAATCATTTATCAGTGTCAGGAAAGAATATCTGTTGATAAATCTTTTTTCACCTTCCTCTGAAGCCTCAGAAGTTGTCTGTGGTTAGATGTTGTCTATGATGGAGTCAATGCTTAATGTCATACAAGAACTCCATTCTGGTACCTGGCTGGTGAGTCTTGCTCGGATGCTTGGACTAATACTATTGCCATGCCTATAGGGATGGGAAGGATTTTTTTGTCAAGTCAGACAGGCAGGACTTTGAAGCTCTTTCTCTTCTTATGCAACACAAAAAATGTTTTTTTTTTCCAAGTTCATCTGATTTAGACACATGCTGCCATTGGATCTTTGTCTTACCTGTTTTCTGCCCTTGGCACACATTATAGTTTTATGGGAACTAAAATGCATGCTTTTAAGCAATAATGGTTGCTAAAAGATCAAACTAACTGAATGATCCATCTAGTCTTAAATTCTATGGTGACTACAAAGTCGTCTGAAATAGAAGTATATGTTCAAGTCATATTGTGGTAAAATGATTACAAAGGATTATAAAATTTTGGTATTTGTAAAACAGTTATGGCTAAAAAGTAGCGTAAGTATTTGCATTCTATATTTTATAGTGTTGTATTAGCATTTTTCCTTTAAAGCTGCTTTTGATTTAAACTGTGCACCATAGGCAGATTTGTAGCATGACATGCTTTCTTTAATTTAGTATAGAGAATGTGTGAGCACATTCACAAAGAAATGCACTGAACAGATTTATTTCATCAGCTGATCATTCTGTTATTTAATTAGTGTTAACTGTACATTTGTGCTACAAGAAATATTGACAGATTTCTTTCTTCCTTCTTGTCCTGATTTTTTAGGAAAAGAAGCCCGTCAATATCAAGAGAACAAAACAGAAGATACGACCAAAGGGACGAGAGAGACGAATATTCACAGTATGCTACATCAGACAGTGCAATGCCCAGGTCACCGTCAGATTATTCAGATAGGCGGTCGCAGCGTGGCCCTCAGTTATATGAAGAACCTGAACTGGGTGATTATAGAGATTCCAACAGAAGGAGTCGCAGGCGTTCCAAGGAGTATCCGGTAGAAGAGGAAGATGCGCAAAACAGGGAGGAATATGAAAGGCAGCGGAGGGAAGAGGAATACCAGGCACGATACCGAAGTGATCCTAATTTGGCTCGTTATCCAGTCAAGCCACAACCATATGAGGAACAAATGCGTATGCATGCTGAAGTGTCCCGAGCACGTCATGAAAGGAGACATAGTGATGTCTCACTGGCAAATACCGAGTTGGAAGATTCTCGGATGTCTATGCTGAGGATGGAGCGACCATCAAGACAAAGATCAGTGTCTGAGCGCAGGGCTGTCATGGAAAATCAACGTTCATACTCTATGGAAAGAACTCGAGAGGCTCAGGGACCAAGTCCCAATCGTCAGAGGACCACAAATCATAGCCCTCCTACACCTAGGAGGAGTCCAGTTCCTCTGGAAAGACCAGACATGAGGCGCTCTGATTCATTAAGGAAACAACACCATTTGGATCCCAATTCTGCCGTACGGAAAACAAAACGTGAAAAGATGGAAACCATGTTACGGAATGATTCGCTTAGTTCAGATCAGTCTGAATCTGTCAGACCTCCACCACCAAAGCCCCATAAAACAAAAAAGGGAGGTAAAATGCGTCAGGTTTCCTTAAGTAGCTCAGAAGAAGAATTGGCATCCACACCAGAATATACAAGTTGTGATGATGTAGAGATTGAAAGTGAAAGTGTTAGTGAAAAAGGTAAGATTTCTGATATTTTGACTGTTTCAGTGTATGGATGTGGTTTAATTTCCATTCCATTGCTTACTTTACCTATTAGACTTGATCACAACCACATGTCTACAGCCCTTCACAAGTGACAATTTTGTTGTGATGGGAGTTGTCTTTTTCTGATTTTGTGTTTCATTTACTTAAATTCAAGTTTAATGCTTTAGATGGAAAAGAACATCACAGCTACTAGAAGTATTTGATATGCTAAAGGAAAAAACATGTCTATTGATAAACCTGTTAATTAAATCTACAAAGTGTCTAAAGCTGGGCTGTTACATAACGCCATGGTTTCATGTCCATTAATACCAGATTTGCATACTCCTGGATCACGTTGAGTGCATACTTATTTGATCTGGATCAAGTGTGGGTGCATGACCACATTTCTTTTGAATTCACTAGAGCACATGATACAGAGCTTATGCCAGTCTCATGCTGGCTGCTGCAGGTTAAAGAGCAACTGATCTGCAAAATCCCCTGTGTGTATAAAGTTAACCCATTCAGGTTTTTAAATAAAATTAAAATGACTGATGTGGTTTATGCCAGTGGCGGTTTATTTTTGCTGTGGGACTATGTTTTGGGTTTAGTGCTTTTTAGGATTCATGATGTTGGAGTGACTTCATTGTCAGAAAGTAAGGCTAAGCTTAATTGAAATGCTTCTCAACCTATTCAAAGGTAATGTATGACTTAAATATGAAAGCACTGGGCACCACCAGTTTAAACCAAATAAAATTAATAATATTAGTTTGCTTGCCTTGAAGTATGTTGTTGGTTTAAAGTACGACAGTTATAACCTGTTTTCAGTTATTATTCTTATGTTAGTGCACCTTTACTAATTCTCATGTACTATCATCTGCTATTGTGCATTGGGATTAGAAAATTTGCTACTGTTTCTTATTAATATTGCTATCAAATTGGTTCTGAAGCAAGTAATTAATTAGAGTTAGTGAAATAACTCTGAATTTTCATATGTTAATAGCAGCAACCGTGGTCTGATAAATAAGGAGCAAGAGAGTGTGGAATGGAAGGAAATTTCACCCAGGTCAAAGTAGACAGTTACAGGCACTTGCATGAAACAACTGTGATGAAACCTTGACACCCTTAGTCTTCCTGATGCATAGAAAAATTTCTATCATCTTCAGGGTGTTCATGATTTTGTTCTTGGTAGCAACTTTGAGGAAAATAGACCCAATGGATATATAAGAAGTGGCAATAAAGTGTTTATTTAACAAAATTCAGCATAGGAAGTACAGTATACAGAATAATACACAAACAATATATTTTTTTTGTACCCACAATACACAAAACATACATTTAACACATAGTATACAATGTTAGATTCTATGTCATCATAATCATCTGACATAAATTGTAGCTTTCGCTTAAATAATATTGTATTTTAACTGCCAAAGAAAACATTATCAGTGATAACAATAGTTTATGGTGTCATGTCTGTGCTGATTCTGAGGTAGTGAAGATAAACTGAGCATGTATTGTATAAATGAATGAAAAAATCTTGCAAAATTTTGCAGGAAAAAAATGCTCTGTTTTATGTTTTGTTGATCCTGACTGAATTACTGTAAGCAGTTTTGATGACATACAGAGTGTAGCTGTGTCAGCGTGGCCCAGTGGTGGCCTGTGGCTGGAGTCAGTGTGGAGAACAGCCTAGGTTTTTCGTAGAGGAAGAGATCAAGTGCTTGAACTGAGGAAGCGGTCTGACTGCTTCTGACTGTGCCTCTGCTGGAGGGTCCTGTTTCTGCCCTTGCTGGTGGGCTGGGAGGCAGTGACGATGCACAGAACAGGCAGCCGTCCCAGCAGTAGCACCTGTACCCAGAGCCAGAGCCAGCTGGTGCCAACCTCAGCAGCCCTGGTCACATTATCAGACAATATCCTCTCCCCCACTCCTTAACCCCTGGAGTGAAAGCTCCAGATAAATATTTGTTTGAGTGTATTTGGGAAGATCTGGCTTCTGCTAAGCATGGCGGAGTAGAGAAGAGATTTGCTGGGATGAAGAGGATGAAGCAGTCTCACCACCCGGATCCAGCCTTCACAGCTGCTGGAGGTTGGCTCACAAAGCGCTACCTCACTCTTTTTATTTTCATGAATCTCTCCTACTGCATAAACCACCCTGCACTTAGAGTCCCTATAAGCAAGTGATTTCTTCATGAATACCACCAAAAGAAATCCAGCACATAACCCCCACATCGATCTTCCTTGTATTGCAATACATTATGTACTTAATTGATGAAATGCAATTAATTATTTTAAGCACTTCCTATAAAAATGGGTTTCTCCTCCCCCCAAATTACTCACTTTCTGCCCTTCAGAAACTCTGCAGACCCAAGGATTTCTCAGCTGTCCTTTTAAGCCACATACAAAGTCTCATTGGCCAAAGATAAAATGCTAAATATAAACATTTGGCCTTGGAGTGACTAAGGGTGGCAGTGTTAGAGTGAGAATTTGAATGCAGTAATAATGAGTTCTTCAGAAGAGGAGAATAATTTGTTCCCCATCTCTTCCTCTGTGGAGTACCCATATCTTTTCACAGATTCTGGAAATAAATATTAACTGCTCAGCTGTGAGGAGCAGCCTGGGCCTGAGCTGCAGGAGCAGCTGTTCTCTGAATTACATCTGAGATTTTACAAGGCCCTGACGTTGGTTTTAAGAAACTAGTCTGAAAATAGTGAATTGTCTGAAAATGTAGGAAAAATTGTAGTCATAAGCTCTTAAAAGGGCAGAAATGTTGCCTTTTTAAGCTTTTCTCCAAAATTAAAAGTTTTGATACATATTTACGGTTGGAACATATTTATACATACAAAATTAAGATACCATTTCATTTTACAAGTCCAACAGAGACATGGACTAGCTGCTGGATTAAGAGCTCTGAGAAGAGCATCCTTTAATACTGAATGTCTGTGACCACCTATTTGGGTCTGATCTTATTTCAGTAGCTGTTTGCTTTAAGGTAATTTTTTCCTTATTTTTAAAAATGTAATCCAATTGTTTTAAGGGAGGGGAGAAGGCAAAATTATTTTTCTGCTTGTTTCTGGTAATGGCTGGAGAAACCATTGCCTTTGAATGCTCCTGCCTCCTCTCTATGGGGGACAAGAGAAACTGTGAGCAGAGAAAGCTGATAAACACCCAGACAACACTCAGGCACCCAGCAGCCAGCCATGTGAATCACAGGCGTGGTGAAGAAGCATTGTAGATGGAGATTCAGCTGCAGAAAAGAGCTGGATTCTTAAGACACTGCGTAGTTTTTGTAATGCAACTATATTTGGACCAGGAAATTTGGGTCATAACCTAGGCTGACGACTGGCGTATTGGAATGGGAATCAGGAGACTTCAGGAGGAGGAGCAGACAAGGGGAGGAAGTTTAGGAACAGCAAACCAAAATGTCTTTGGGTGGCTGGAAACCAGTGGATTGAGATGGAAACTGAGGCTGAAGAGGAAGAGGGGAGAGCACAGCTGGTAGATCAAGCAGGCTAAACCTGTGACCTGCAGTTCGGGAAGAACAGATAGAGTGAAGGAAATGGATCTGATGAAGACAACTGGGAAGGTGAGAACTGGAGCTTCCTGAGTGGTAGGTTACAGGTTTCTGAGATGAGCTGAGAAGCAGAAGCAGCAGTTTGGGAGAGACAGTGAATGACTTGGAAAAGGGCGTTCAGAGAGAAGGACAGGAGGGCTGAGCTGGACTAGGGAGCTTTGGCAAAAAGGGACTGGGACTCTCTGAGCAAGGAGGGTGGGCTTGGCAGTATTCACCTGAAGTGCTGAGAGGGGGTCTGGCGAGGTGAGAAGTGCAGAACTATGGTGAGGAGACAGTGATGTGACAGACCAGTTCATTTTATAAAAGGTCAGGAAACTATGCACGACATAGTGTTAAATGGACATAACTGAGGTTATAAATGGATATACTTGAAACTTAGGTTGTGCCAGAATTAGACATACATTGCAGATTCAATTTTGTGCAGGTCTTCATATATGTTAAAAATGTCCTTAGTGACATAAATGATTACTGATTTACGAGATGGCCTCTGCCTGTTTCTGTGCATAGAATGAGCAGTTCTTCCTTATTGTGCTATTCAAAATTTTCTGAAGCTCCCAAGATTTTTCCCAAGTTATCTAAAGGATCTTTCTTTACTCTTGCTGTGAATACCAGGCTTCTGAAACTGGAAAGACAGTGTCTCCATTTGGAACACTTGTTGCCAGTCCTGGAGATCAGAGTAGCAGACAGTCCAAAGCTGTATCCACATGGCAGGATTCCCTGTATGTATTAGGAAACACACTTTGCACAGGAAAAAAAAGAAGGTGATTAAATGTTTTGGACCAAAATATTAAGTATATTTCTATTTTACCTAATACTGAAAGGACAAAATAGTGTAAAATATTAGAGAAAATCAATTCTTGAAATGCCAGTTTAAAATATTCCAGGTTGTTCAGTTCACCAATACTTTCTCAAAACCATCTCAGTTTACTTGATTCAGTTTCAAGGCTCTGAGAAACACGGCTTAGAAAGTAAGAACGGCTGTGGTGTTAATTGCAGTGAAGTGAACATCGAACCATGTCACCCACAAAACTCCTAATGAAGCTATGTTTTTTGTGGTGTGCAAATTAGGCCAAGATGTCTCCATTGCTTGTCCACTTTAAGTGTCTTCTGTTGTGAGGGAATATGAGAGTATTTTCTATTTGCATTTTTAGCTATATGTTTGTCAGTGCAATTGTAAGGAATGAGCCTTAGGGCAGGTTTGAAATAATTTGTCAGCCAGCATGAAGCAGATGTAAAGCAGAGTGCTACAGGTCTGTTCTGTGTGTCTACAGGCTTTCCAGTCAGAGTTAGAAGATCAAACAGTACTATTGCCCATACATTCCCTGTGGCAATTCTGTCACACCTGCAGTCTGCGAAAGTGCCAGCCTGAAGAGACTGGCCACAGCCACACTCAGGAAAGCCAGTGGTCCCTGGGCTGTCATACCCC